ATTCCATATTCTGCCCACAGCATGCTTATGCATTGCAACTTGCAGCTTGAATTTGTTCTTTAGTTCCTTCAGCTTAAGAAATGCAGAGTGAGTTTGTCCCTTTTGATTTTCTACTCCAGCTACCTGCACATTTCATTATAATACTTTGCCTTGCCTTCCTCAGCTGTCCTTTGAAATCTTCTATTCAGTTCCTTAACTTCTTGATTTCTTCCCTTTGCTTTGGCTTCTCAGTGCTCTAGTGCAATATTCAGAATCTCTTCTGACATTCATTTTGGTCTTTTATTCTTCTTCCTTATTTGTAATGACCTTATGCATTCTTCATGAACAATATCCTTGAATCATTCCAACAGCTCATCTGGTCTTCATTCATAGTGTTCAAGACCTCAAACCTGTTTCTGAGTTGAATTTTAAATTCAGATTAGATAGACTCAATATCAAATTTTTATTCCCGTAGATATGATTTAATCTTCTTTAGCTTTGATTTGAACATGTACATGAATGATGGTCTGTTTCACAATCAGAATCTGGCCTAGTTTTTACTTTCGATAATTGAAATTCTCCAATCATTCCTTCCACAGATGTAATTGATCTGATTCCTGGGTGTACTCTCAGGTGAAGTCCACATGTATTGCCTGCACTTATGTTTCTTATAAAAGATATCGCTATGAATAAATCATTGTGCTTGAATTCTCTAATTCTATCCCTAGCCTCATTTCTATCACCAAGCCTATATTTTCCAATTACTGATCCATCTTTCTGGTTCCCAACGTATACATTCTAGTTATTCATTATTATTAATGCATTTTTGGTTACATGTCCAATCGATTTCTGACTGCAACAGTTGATAGAAATCACCAATTTCCTCCTCTTTGGCTCTGGTTGTTGGTGCCTAAATCTGAATGATAGTAGTATTAACAGGTCTTTTTTGTATGTGTATGGATATTATCCTGTCACTCACAATATTTTATTTCAAGGTAGTTCTAGAAATGACATTTTTAACCATGAAAGCAACCCCATTTTTCCTCACATTTTCATTTTCAGCTTAGTATATCATATGATTGTCTGATTCAAAATGTCCTATGCCAGTCCATCTCATTTCAATACCTATTATGTCAATATTTATGTGTTCTATTTCTTTCTTAACAATGTCCAGTTTTCCTACATTCATGCTTCCCACATCCCATGTACCAGTTGTTAATTTCTTTTTACAATTGTTTCTCCTCCTTTGTGTTTCCAAATTTGAGGACCCAGCTTCAGTTGCCATATCTGTTAGTCTACTCTAAGTATGCTTTACTGTACATACGGTTTTCGAAGGCCTGTTATATTTCAGAAATGGATGGCCAATCCTTCTTCCTCACCTGTCTTAATCTGAATGCTTAGTTTTAGAACAATATCTGACAGACAAGCACTTTACCAAGCAGATGAAAGACACTTCCCTTACAGAAATAACCGATACATTCACTGTCCTCCCACCCAAGCATGTGTGTCTCGTCTCTTCCCTTTCCCTGCTAAATCAGCATTCTTTGCACTCCTCCCTATCCAGTTGAGCCCTCCCTTCCTCAATTACCCCTTGATATTATATCTTAGTCCACAAGTTACTCCTGTGATGTCTTTTAGCATGCAGTGCTATTGGTCTCTTACGCTGTTACTACTCTCCTATTTAGTGGGATGCAAGTCCAAATCTCATGTACCAGCTTCAGACACAGGTTTTTGCCTGAGGCAGTACTGAGGAAAGATCCTTGACATTGAGCTACTGCTAAATTTTATAGATAGATA